GAGCTCGTTCCTTCTTTTTAATTGCTGAATAGTATTCTACGATATGAATCCTTTGTACCACATTTTGTGTGTCCATCTTCCAGGAATGGACATTTAGGTTGTTTCCTTTTTTTTTTTTTTATTACAAACCACAGTGCTTTGATTTAAAAAAAAAAATCTTTGTATGTGTCTCTCTGAGCATCGATGCTTGAGTTTCTCCAAGAAAGTTACCCAGGACTCAAATGTACCTGGGATCCACCTCCCCTCCTGTGCTCACCCACTGTGTGACCTTGGACTAGTCATTTCACCTCTCAGAATCTGTCTTCTTACCTGTAAAATGGGTGTGTGATAATCCCTGACTCTCTGGTTGTCAGAGAATTAAGTGAGACTTTCTCTAAAAAGCAGCAAACAGTTGAGTCCAGCAGCTCCCATCCTCCATGCTACAGGGTTTTCTAGCAGCCAAAGTAGGAGCTCAGGGCAGTGCCCATCCTTTGCACTAGGGACCCTGGGCCCAGCAAAGCACTGCCTTGGGGGCTTACCCAGCCCACCCCTTCTCACCTGCTGCCAACACTATCTCCCTACCCAACCTGGTATCAGGTTGGTAGATAACTGAGCATCGTACCCCTCAGTGACTCAGTTTCCTCACCTGTAAAATGGCATAATAACACCTACTTCGAAGGTCTTTTAGGAAGCTTGAATGCCAGAGAATGTCTGCCAGGCACTTGTTAAAACTGAATGCCCTTTTCTGCACACCCAGGACACGTTCTCCTTCAAAGATGAGAATTTATCCGAGGTTTCGTCTCACTGGCTGGGGAAGCTGGATTATGTCCCTGGTTTGATTTTCTGTTGCAGATGCTGCTGAGGGTTTTGCTGGGTCCCTCCATTTGTTTTCCTTGCTGGAAATTGGAGGCTGGGTGGTTTAAATTTGCTAAAATATCGCCATCTAGTGGACTCACTGAAACACTGCAGTTTTCGTTTGGCCCCATCTGGGAAAAACAATGGGGCGACAGCTGAGGCCGCCCTGCCCAGCTCAGAGACGCTGGTGGCTCCCCATTGTCTACGGGGTAAAGTCCAAACGCCAAGCCTGGAATTCAAGCGCCTACATGCTCGGGCTCCGCCCTGCCTATCGGACCTTATCGCTGGCTTCGACCTCCTGCCCTGCCAGGCCCAGCTCCTCTGGCTCCAGAACCTCCAAGCCCACACCTCCTGGCACGTGGACCTGCCCTGTGTCCCCGACTGCCATATCCCTCTTCCTCCACACTCTCCCAAGGCTCACCCATCTCCCAGGTTCAGCTCAAAGGCCACCTCTTCCCAGAAGCCTCCCAGGCCTTCAACGTATCTGGGTCTTCCCTGACCTCCCACCAAGGCTCGCTGTGGGTCATGTTGTTATTTCCATATTTAAAGCTGTGCTTTGTCAGTGCACTGCCCTCCAGTATCCAACATGATGGAGTCAAGTGAATGCCAGCCTGCAGTCCCTGGACCGCCATTCTCCATCCTCACCTGGCCTCCATGCTTCCCAGCTCTGAGAACCTGGGCAGGGAGGGAACCTCAACTGTGCAATCTCAGTGAGAACACCTGTCTCACAGGTGCAAGTTAAGACAGAATGCAAAGTGGCTGGCACTTACAAAGGCCCAATGAATTGTTAGCGTGGTCAGATAAAATACAGGATACCCAACTGAATTTGAATTGCAGATAAACAAAAAATTTTTTTAGTATAAGTATATCCCAAATAATACAGGGAGGGTCTGCGTTCCATTTCACAGACAGGTGATATTAAGGATTATTGATCATTTTGTTAGATGTGCTAGTGATATTCAGAATGTATGTACATATACAGTCAGTCCTCATTATTGGCAGATTATGCATTTGCAAATTCACCTAGTGGCTAAAATTTATTTGTAATGCTGAAATCAAAATTCATAGCTCTTGGTCATTTACAGACACGCACATGTGTCAAGGGGAGAAAAATCTGAGGTTCCCAATATGCCGAAGGCAACAGGTGATACTCTGTCTTGTTACAGCTCTCACATCATAAACAAGTGTGCTTTTTGCCATCTCTTTAGTGCTGCCTTTGTCGCTTTTTTGTGTTTCGTGTTGGTGACTTAATCGCCCCCCAAGCCAAGTGTCGAAGGACTGTCCAGTGTTCCTAAGCCAAGGCCATGATGTTCCTTATGGAGAAAATCATATGTGAGATGAGCTTTGTTCAGGCGTGAGTTATAATGCTGTTGGCCGTGCATTCATTGTTAATGAATCAACAGTAGACATTAGATAAAATGTCTTTAAACAGAAGCACGCATAAAACAAGGGTATGTAGTGATTGGTTGATGAAAATGTTATGACCAGAAGCCAGCAGGACCCTGACCCTGAACTGTTATGAGTGAAACTATATGATGTCTGGAATCACTTTAAAATACCCCAGCAGTGGGATCCAGATGTGTATATGGAGAGTGTAAAAGAAACAACATAGCAAAGGTAAAAGATTCTGAAAGTGATGAGTTACTAGGCTGTTCTCTCTACTTCTGTGTATGTTTGAAAATGTTTGTTACCATAACAAAAGGTTTAAAATACACGCTGGGGAGAAAATCTTGGGGGAAGAATATCTTATTCGTTAGTTCTCACTCACCCTCTGCAGGGACAGGGCTTCAGATGATAGTCCCAGAGATCCCATTATGGGCAAATCCCAAACCCTTGAGTGCAGAGCACCCACTGAAGTTCCAGAGACCTGGCTCTGGTCTCAGCCCCACTTCAGACTTACTACCTCTGGCAACTCACAGTGCCTTCCAAGCCTTTTTTGTATCAGTTAAGTAAGGAAGCTGACCTGGACAACCTCAGGGTTCCCTTCCATTTCTAAAACCCTCTAATTCTAAATCCAGTATTTCCTAAGTTGGCATGTTCTAGTGCAATATTCCAGCCTCTCTCCAGCTCTCTCATCCCTACCCAATCCATCCCGAAACCACTATTCTGTGAACCTTGCTGAAGTTCTCCCTATTTTGCAATGCTCTAACCAGGAAGCTATTCTGATTTCTCTAAAGGCTGATTTCTCTACAAAAGTCTGAACTCCTTGGCTGAGCCATTAAGGCTCCTGCAAGCAGACCATCCACTGAATGCCACGTCTTGAGCTCTTTCTACCAAGAGCTCACAGTTCAGTTAAACCAGGAAACAGGGATATCACAGGGTGCACCACCAGATTATTGTGGGAACACAGAGGGAAGTCACTCAAGCCAGTGTGGGGAGGCAAGAGGAAGTCTTCAGGAGGAAGAGATAGCTGAGCTGAGACCTGAAGGGTGACCAGGGATCACTGCCACAGACAGGGGGAAAGGATGTTCCAGGTGAGGCAACAGTGTGTGCAAAGGCCTGGAGACAAGATGAAGTTGGGAAAGGTCCAGATTTCAAAGCCCATCACACCTATCCCCATAAATCTCTCTGGCATTATTTGCCACCGTTCGCTCACTGCCCAGCATGTGAGGCATGCGTGCTGGGGACCCTGGGATTCCTATTTGGGAAGGTGTATATTGGACTCCCGACCGAGCCTCCTTTAAAATGACCAGGTCAGGAGAAACTTTTACACTTCCCAAGGCACTTTTATTTCGCTCATCCCTGTGTGGCTCAAAAAGGTTAAGTCACTCACTCTAGACCACACAGCCAGTGAGGGGGGAGGTGGGGATGCAAATGCAGGTCTGACTCCTGCCTGGTGTCCTTGCTGCTGCAGAGGGCAGCCAGTGCCCACCACGGCTTTTGGTCAGGTGACTGCAAGAGGGCACTTTCTTACAGGTTCCCTGCACGCTGCACTTAAATAGAAGCACTGAGGAAGCCGACGTCTGCAGGCTGAGCTCAGCAGACCGGCTTCCTAAGAGCTGGGGTCATGTAAGGTCCGGTCGCTTCAAGTGTCCCAGCTCCCGAGGGGCGAGGACCCCAAGTCTTTAGACCTGGGTTCAAGTCTCCTATTACTGTAACCCCAATCCCTCTCAGCTATGTGACATTGGATAAGTAGCTTCGATCTCATCTGTCAGGTGGATCTTCAGAGGCTGCTGTGGGGATAAAACGAGAACAACACATGGAAAGAACGAGCCCGCCAAGCGGCGCGCACAGGAGACCCGCCTGCAGGCCGTGCGCATGCGCGCTCCGTAAAGCCCCGGCGGGCCTTCCCGCGGGCTCTGCGGCTGCGCAGTCGTCCGGCTTT